GTGACATTTTTTTTAAATAGTAAGCCTACTTCACAACCCACAGACCATATTCAATGTGTTAATTACTATTTCTTTATCTGACAGAGCAGAATAATGTGTGTTGAATTTGGATTTCAATTTGGGAACAGTTTCTGTTTCTAGTATAGTAGTTATTTGCAAATGTGGTATAACTCTTCGATTTATTTAGTAATCCTTTACAGTTTCTGACTTTATAGATATTAACAGGAGAATGGAGAGGACAGAAACGAAGGTAGGTATTGGAATATACATGGCATGCTCAGATGAGGAAGGAGGCCCACAGATTGACTGAGCCAATATCGAAGCACAGATGGAGAATGACCCATGAAACCCCACCCCTTGTTAAGGAGCTACTGATAGTAGATGGCTTTTGAGGGTGAGTTAGATTTCTTCAGAGATGTTACCCCTGAGAGTGTCTTTGTTCTTCTGCAGATTGTTCTACACTGATGTAAATGCTGGCTGCATTAAGCAGCCTAGGTGTGATTTAAAAATAGAAACAAAAGTTGGAGGTGATAGAGGAGGAAGCAGAGGGAATGGGAATGGAATGGAGAGTAGACTTGATGAAAACATGTTATAGGCTGATATGAAATCTACATATGATTAAAAAGGAGACTGGGGTCAAGAAAGATGAGCTGGAACAGAGAGGAATGAATAGGAATAAAATAAAGTGACACATATGAAAAGTTAATAAAATGATTCAAAAATAAATGCCCTTTGTTAATACCAGTGTTTATTGTTTAAAGAAGATTTTCTGCTGAAAATCTGTTTTTATTAGCACATGCTTTAAAGTGTTTATTCAAATTATCAGATAATCACTTTTGTACATTTATTTCACTTTGCTTCACTGAAATAACCTTTCTTTCATTACTATACATTTTAAGTTAATTTCTTTTCTTTTCCTATATTTAAATTCATGCACTAATTAAAATTTTAATAACTGTGTCTTTGACTTTTATTTTCATATGCATACATTTATTTGTTTTGTTTCATTTATTATTGTTTTTCAAGAAAAATATCTTGCTATATATCCAGTTATTCTTGGTCCTTAATACTCACAAGTCTACTCTTACCTTGTCTAAAGTTTCCCTAATGCAATGTTTACAGGCATGCCCAGCATGCTCTCCTGCTTGTGTTTTTGATTTAGTCTTTAAGACTATAAGTTTTCCTGATAGTTGAAAACATGCAAACTTTGATGAAGAAATATCAAATTACTAACATTCAGTAATGAATTAATTTTCCTTCCTTATCTGAAAGTCACCTTGAATTTGGTTGAATTTACTTGTTTACGTTATGACAATGTTCCCTTCCAAATTCAATATTGTGTGTGTAAGTTACTTTGTTTCATTGGGTTTTGGGTGTTCAGTTTATTTGTGTATATTAAAGGAAACTGAACAACAATTAGACATATGCTTCAAGTATTTTGTGATGACTTTATATAATATCGACTGTCTGAATTTTACGCTAAATTTTTGTTAGATTTATTGTCAAACATTTCGTAATCCATACTTAGAATTTACTATATTTTTATCTACCTTAAAATTTTTGAACACTGGCCTGTCCTTATCTTTTGACTAGTACTAAATGGTCTTACCAAAGGCATGCCAAACAGCCCGAACTCCAGCATTCCCGTGATAGACCATTCCATCTGCTCCCACGAGGCAGTGTTATCTCCCAGCCAATGAGCAGCATGCTTCCCAGAGCCGGCAAATGTTGACCGAGTGAGGATGAAACTTCTCTTGTTAGGAAAAACTTTCTCCACAGCTCTAAAAATACAATCAAGTTAAAACATAAATATTACTGCTAAATAAAATTGAATTCATTAACTTAAAAATGTTACTCTCAAATGTATATTTGATCTCAGACACAAGACATAATATTTTGAAAATATCGTGAAATTTTAATGTCAGTTTGCATTTAGATACCAAAATGCAGCTCATTTGAATACATTCTGATCAAACACATGAGAAGGATATCTTTGAAAAAGACACTTTTCTGCCAAAGGAAAATCATCAGAAGCAAAAAAGAAAACTAAAATTACTTCAAAAAATGAAGCCAACCGGAGTTGGTTTGTAATAATATGATATCCTCACATGCCTTTTCCATATTATAAGCTATATTATATTGAACCATAAGATATTGCCGGTTTTTCTGCAATAAAATAAGTACTTAAAAATGTAATGTTTCATACTGCATCCAAGTTTTATTGGTTTAATTTTGAGGGTTATTAATTAAAATAAACTATAACATCTCCCTACTCCATTTTCTCTCTCCAGGCTGTGCCAGTAAGGCTCCCTCAAAATCATCCTTTGTCCTCCGCTCTAAGTTAATAACTTATTTTTCTTTTATTATTATTCTTACATGTAGGTGTGCACAAAGAGAAGTATCAACCTTATGATGAAAATATACAAAAGTTTTGTAACATTGTACTATTTGCCACCAGCAAAGCATTAACACGTGTGCATTTACTTGCAGAGACCAAGAGCTGAGTGTGATAAGTTACTGCTCTGAAGAAACTTAGAGATCACTAGCTAAGGAACAGAAAGTCAAGGAGTGCTGGTTGTCTGCTTCTGTTTTGTGACGTGTTACTTATTCTATTATACTCTAATACTTAGAAACTGGGTGAATGGAAACACATATTTTTGGAGAATAAAGAGCAGTTACTGTATCATCATTTTCTTACATCTAATGAGAACTTCAAGATTGATAAAAAAAAATCTTCATTATTGTTTTCCATAGAAAGCAAACAGAAGAAATTCTTAATGGATAAATTTTATGAATTAAGCAAATCTTTGTTCAATGCACTTGTCATGTGATTCTTGATAATATACTAATATTGATAACATCTATATTAGTAAAAGAGAACGATATTTGAATTTCACCTTGAAAACACTTGCAACTTTCTATCTAAATTGTTCAACTTCCAGAAGCACATATCTAAATAAAAATAATTAATTTTTTAGTTTCTGCATGAAATTTCACATACTTCTCTGTGGCTATGGCCATGCTGTATCCATACAGGCTGTGGACATCATACTGCTTCCCCCAGTACTGTACAGCATCCATGCAAAGGGTTTTGGAATACAGAAGTTTGTCAAGAATACCTTAAAGAAAATAATGTAACAGTCTTGTGATATACTTTATGATAAAATTTGTGTCTGTTTTTCTAATATGTTCCCCCATTCCTAAACAAACAAACAAACAAACAAATCACAGAAGACTACATATAGTTAAGCAATATCCAGTTAGGTTCGTGCATTTCATTCCTGTGGAAACTGGAAAATGATTTTAGCTACAGTAAGTGTAAATACTTTACCCACTAACTACATTACACTTCATGTAATTTAACTAAACAATATTCTATGGGTTTAATAATAAATAAATTGATGGAAAAGAGTCATTGATGAGTGAATTGCATTTTATACACTTATATTGTAGAGCATTTCCCCAAATACTAATTTTAATCTTTTATAGGACACAAGTTGATTTAAATGAGATTTTGGTTAGGAGCTGGGGAGATGACTCCATAAGCAAAGTGCTCACCACACAAGCCTGAGAACCTGAATTTGAGTCTCAAGCACTCATATGCAAGGTACACATGCTTGTGAGTTGTCCTCTTAGCACTGGGAGGTAGATACAGGTGTATCTGCAGAACATTCAAACTCTCCCCCCTTTCCTATTTCTTTCTTTCTTTCTTTCTTTCTTTCTTTCTTTCTTTCTTTTTTCTTTTTCTTTCTTTCTTCCTTCCTTCCTTCCTTTCCTTCTTTCTCTCTTCTCCTCTTCTCCTCTCTCTCTCTCTCTCTCTCTCTCTCTCTCTCTCTCTCTCTTCTAGTCAATCAGTGACCTCTAGCTTTAGTGAAAAAATCTTGTCTAAAAATGAATTTTGAGGAACTTTGGCTTAACTATTAAAAAATTTTACTCTGAAAACTCAGCTAGGAAATTTAGATCCCAGCACCCACATAAGAAGTTGGATATATTGTGTGTCTATAATTCAGTGGGGTGGAACAACAGCCATTAGGTTATGCTGGGAAAATGTGAGTCCCAATTGCGAGGAGAAACCCTACCTCAGTTGAACAGACAGAAGGAGATAGGAGGGTAGAACAATCCTCGTTTCTGTGCATCTGCACAGGCATATATGCTCATGAACACGTATGCATACAATTATGTAGACATAATAAATAAATAAATACAATTTGCAAAATAAGATTGAGAATGATAGATGAAGAATTTAGTATCTTATTTTCTACGTGTTAATGTGAAAACATACAAACATGTATATACACATATAACATAGAAAATATCAATAAAAATAAGGTTTAAAGAACAGAGAAGGCCCTCATAATCTCTTATGTAAACATGAAAACATGTATACATACATATAATACATAAACAAGTAAGTATTAAATCAATGTAACCACAATTACTATATTGAAAAAAGGAAAGAAAAACTAGTGATTTTAGGATTAAAAATTATAAGAGTTTGTGATTTAGAAATATATTTTAGAATTTATTAGTTAACAAAACTTTTGTCTCAAGTACGGGTAATTAGGTAAGCAAATGGAATTTACCAGGAGTGAAAGGGGGGTAATTCATTTCATTGACGCTGCACCCTTTCAGAGAACCTTGAATAAAGCTGGAAACTTCATTCATGTCCTGAATGCATAGAAAAGGGAAAATAGCAGCAGTTAAAACTTATGAACAACAGATTTCTTATGCTATTGAAAATGACATCCTTGAAATTGTTTGTTTTAGACTTATAGACGTAAAAATGGGGTGCATATGCTACAATGGGTACCTTAGACTGGAGTGAATGTTTTTAAATGTTGCAATACCTCTCACTTTACAGAATTAGAAATCTACACAAAGCACGTCTGTACATTCAATGAACATCTTTCAGATAGTATTGTCTGTGTTCACACTCTGATGCGCAGGTATCTAGTTTTCATCATGCACTCAGCCCTCTGCTGGAACCAACTTTCACTTACACCACAGCTTCTAAGCATTGTAACAACTTGAAAGTTTTCAAGGAACCTTAAGTTTGGTTAATTTTATTCTAAGAACATGTTAAACAAATTTATTTTTGAAAAAGTGTTGAGAAATCATTTTATAGTACATGTATTGCTATTCTTGGTTGTCAATTGGGTTACATCTGCAATTAACTCAAACTCCTGCAGCTCAATACACCTGAGAAGATTTTTCTTAATTAAGCCATTTGAAGTGATCCACCTTAAATCTGGGCCATAGATTCTTGTGGCAGCTTAGATGAGAAACATGGAAGAAGGAAGTGCTTGCTTTTTGCCTGCTTGCCCTTGCTCTTTCTCCACCTGTATTGGAGCCTGCTTTTTCAGGATTTTGACATGTATAGAAGACCAGCTGAGTCATCCAGTTTTTGTGGACAGAACAACTGATGGATTCTCAGACTTTCCATTTGGAGATAGCCATTGTTGCATTAGCTGGACCATAGCCTGGAAGGCATTCTGATGAATGTCATATATCACATAGCTAATATATGTTAGGTTATTCGTGTGGAAAAAGATGAAGTGAGCTTAAGTTGGGCCAAATGATTATATACATATATTTCTAAATATATATAAACAGACATATATATATATATATGCTGTTCTGTTCCCCTAGAGAACAATGACTAATAAAGGATATTAATACATTGATCTCGAAAATGTCTTATTACCTATTAATAGTACAATATAACCATGAACATGGAGGCTTGCACTAAAAGAACGATGCATAAATATATGTATAATTTTATATCATATCACTCAGGTGAAATATATTCAACCCTTCTTCCTTTCATGCTAATTACTTGAAGCATGCCTATGAATTTTCCCCACAGTTTCTGGAAAAAATCTGCTGCTCTCAAAGAAAACTCTGTTCTTGAGTTTTCTAGTCTAATCTTTGGTTTAATCTTTTAAGCACCAAATTGGTTTTCATCTTCATAGTTTCACCTTTCATTTTCTCCTTTATTTTTGTTTTGCTTTGTTTTGTGTCAGCTCTCTACCGTATTCTTTAAACAATTTATTCCTGTTCTGATCATTAAGTCTATTTTTTCCACTACTTTGTAAATTGCCATGAACACATAGCTAAAACTTCTGAAGTCTACCACTGTAGGGTCCCTACAAGAATAATAAACACAACATTTGCAAAGGCATAATGATGAAACATCAGTATTACAGTTATAATTTGCTCTTGTTTTTAACCTTCCCTACATACTGGCTTCTTTTGACCCCAGAGTACCAAAGACAATTACTTATGTCTTTTCTATATGAAATGAAATGAGACACTCAGAGTTTTGAGAAAATATGTTCTTCAACATACCACAAAAGGTACTTGATACCTTATACAAAATGTGTTCTAAATAACTATGGATGAGAAAATATGCCAGTATCCCAATGTCTAAAAAACAAAAAGCTATCTTGATGTTTGGCAATTGTCTAGAATATTATATTTATTTCTGTCTATCTCTATGAAGTGAAATTAAGTAATAATATTTTTTTCTCAGACTAAAGTGTAGATGAAACTAATTTTCCATGACTCTAGCAGTTAAATTAATGAATAAATGACCTAAATAAACATAGCTTACATATGGAGTTGGTGAAATAATTTAATTTTATGCAAAATATACTTAAGGAGGGAGTAGTAAAATAGCTACCAATTATTTTTATGTAAGATATATTTGAGTATGTCATCTCAATAAGGGATATAATTTCTTTTCAAACATTGTAAAATGAATTAGTATATTTCTTCACTGAATCATTCTTCTTTTGATGCATTAAACTACAATATAACATAACTGCAAAAATATGCTTGTAAGTAGAGAAATCCCTGTGAATTTGAAAGTATTTGGTAGCAGCATTGGTTTCAAATCACGGCTTCAGTGCTAACCATTTTAGCAGGCTCCTCTTTGTCAGATATTAGGAGACTGATATTTTCAAGAAGGATTAGGAAAAGGGAGTCCATTTATATGATATCCTATGTATAAAAATCCTTTTGGCTACAATTAGTTCACAGAATTTCTCAAAATAGTTTTAATTTTAATTTTTTACTATAAAACCCTTAATATGAAATCACAAATCGGTGAATTTATAAAAAGTTTTGAACTTGAGATAAAAATACAACTCATAAGGTAAATCATAAAAATCTTTTCAGTGAAAATTCACTCTATTGGGAAAAAAATTTAAAAAGCACTAAAGAAAAAACTTAGCAGTAGGATTTGCTGATTTAAGAATTGGAGCAAAAGCGACCACTGCTCAGAAGTAGTAAGTGCTCATTTATTGATATCTATAGAGCGCTGAGTAAATACTGTTTGTGATGTCTGATTTGAGATTTTAACCCCACCTTTGGAGATGTTGTTGACTTCAGTTTTTATTAATTAAAGTGTGTATGGGTTAGTGAGGTAGAAAAGATAAACTGCTGTTCTCACATATGATTACAACTTGTTTCCATTTTTCAGTCCAGTTATTCATGATTCAGCAAATTCAATATTATCACTTATAATACAACCAAGCCTTTTCACTGTAGTATCATGTAATTGTTTTCTAAGGAACTCTTGAATGGGAGAAGAAAATTACTGACTTGGAGGTTAGTATAAAAAACTGAAGCTAAAACACATCATTCATATCTTATTATCCCTCTTACTAAGTTCTTTTATTTGTTTGTTTGTTCATTTAATTTTTAGTTTTTCAAGGCAGGGTTTCTCTGTAGCTTTGGAGCCTGTCCTGGAACCCTCTCTGAAGACCAGACTGGCATTGAACTAAGAGGCCTGCCTGTCTCTGCCTCCCAAGTACTGGGATAAAAGGTGTGCACCACTACCACCTGGCTTAAGTACAAACGGTGTGACCTCATAAAATGAGAGTATCCATCCTCTATACCCTCATACTACTGATGTCTGCACAGGAATCCTGCCATCATAAGCATGACTTCCCCTGTTTGTCCTCCTCAAAACACCTAACACATGGGAAATGCAAATAAGTATGTCTTAAAGAAATTGCTTCCTGATTAGATAGATTAATAACTAACTTACTATACATAGAGTGAGCTCACAAAGAAGGAAACAGACTGAAACAACCAAGAAAAACTCCTACAATATCTATTATTCTGTAGAGCTGCTACACTTTTCCCAAAACCTCTGTTTTCTGTGGGCATGCTAAGGTTTATAAGAAGTTTATCTAAACTTAGGGTTTAGAATCTTGAGGTATTTTGTCTCTCCAGTGGTATTATATTCACCATAAAGTCGTTTGCCTTATCACATTATCTTATGTGACTGTCCTATAGGTGGCAAATTGTTATTAAGTATAATTATAAAAAATATCCCATGAATTTCCAAACATTATGGTTTTCCTTAGTGACTTCATAAATAACTTGGTAATTAAATTTTAATTTATTTTGAAATAAACTACAAGCCATTGTCAGTTTTAGCTTGTTCTGAAACATCAGTTACTAGAAAGAAAGCCTCCTAAGGAGGACACTACTGGTTCACAGTGCTGCAGTTGTCTCCTGAAGATTTTCATACATGCTTTGCAATTATGCTATTTTAGGCCTATCCTCAACTTACCACCTTCTCAGAAAAATGATAGGTTATAAGGGTACAACTCCTTATGTAAAAATTAACATTATTCTGCAAAGTCTACTAGTGGGGGAAAAAGCCTAGTTTTTATTTTTTGTCCCTTTCTTCCACATATATGGTGTTTTTGTATCAAGAAGTGATAGAAAATATTTATATTTTATTTAGAATGCATTCCCCTTTTTTGTTTCTTTTGGGGTTTTTTCCAGACAGGGTTTCTCTGTGTAGCTTTGGAGCCTATCCTGGCACTCACTCTGGAGACCTGGCACTCACTCACAGAGATCCGCATGCCTCTGCCTTCTGAGTGCTGGGATTAAAGGCATGCACCACCAATGCCCAGCTAGAATGCATTCTATAGATATAGATTGTGTGTGTGTGTGTGTGTGTGTGTGTGTGTGTGTGTGTGTGTGTGTTTATAGACAAATTGTTTTATGGGTCAATTAATTAAACAATAGCTACTTACAATCCAAAGTCCATCATATTGCACTTGCTGGTGGAAAAGACTGCATTCATTTGCCCACCATTCACTGGTTTTTGGATTAGTAAAATCAGGGTAAACTGTTAATCCTGGCCATACCTAGACGAATAGACAATTCATATGTACACATGAATAAAAGGATAATTTAAAAATAATTGGTATTCAAAAACATGTACTTAAAAATTTCTCAGTATTAAATTTCTAATATTATAATTTAGTAGGTATGTATGACTCATATGCAAACTATATTCAAAATTATCTTGACATTATGTTAAACTCCTTTAAGGAAAATGTTTAAAATAAGTATAAAGAAGAATCATTAAGTATTGAAAAGAAAGAAAATGAAAGAAAAGAAAAGGGATTAGATGCCATATGGAGGGGAAGTATTTGTATCTTAATTTCCTTGTAGTTTATATTAGCAAACTACAAGAATATTAATTAAAAGCATGTTACTACATTTCCAAACACATCTACTTCCAAGAGCTTCAAGAGAAGAAACTTTCACAATAAACACTAGTTATTTTCTGTGTTCTAAATATTTTTGTAATTGTTAAACACTATTCACTAGAAATTTGGGAGACATACTTTTGTCATCATTTTAAATATAAGGTAGGTAAATTAAATCCATTTTGCAGGTGAGGCAAGTGACACACAGGCATATCAAGTGGAATTTTCAAGCCTATACTCCTCAGAGCTGGTCAGCAGGAATTTAAACTCAAGGTGTAAAAGACCTGACCCTATGATATCAAAGATAAGGTATACTTTATTGCCTCTTGACTATGTATTCCATTTTTTAAACTATACTTCATTATTTGTTCATCCAATAACAGCATTAAGAAAAAAGTATTAATTTTAATTAACTAGGACATGTTAATATGTTAATATGCTTTTAAAAGTATATTATATATACATATAAACACAATTGTTTGCCAGTTTGCCCAGGATCGCAGTGACAACTGGTAACAAAACATAATCTGTGTAATATTAATGAGTAGTAATGGGGAGTGGTGTATGTGGATATGGAGGAGACTATAATCATGGAAAGAAATTTTGTCCTGAAAATATGTTTATTTACTGCAGTAAGGTTAGGAAGGATATTTGTCATTATCAATGATAATCTAATAAATATACATTTAAAAGTTGTTATTTCCTTTTACAGTTTCATTTAGTTTTATTAAACCATATCAGGGGATTGTCAACTACAGGTGCCTAGTCAATATTTGATTTTGACATGACTCATGAGCATGATTCTAAAAGAATATTTATTCTGCCCAGAAATACACATCACAGGTTGGACAGGTGGCTCAATCAGTAAAGTGTTTGTCATATAGGCATGAGATTCACATTCAGATTCCCAGAACAGTAGCACATATCTGAAATCCAAGAACTCTTAATATGAGATAGGGTAAGAAAAGAGTCCTTGGAAACTCCTGGAACAAGCCAGTGAAGCAATCATGGGCCCTGTCTCAAACAGGGTGGAAAGCAAGAACTGACACCCAAAGTTGTTCTCTGATCTTTACATACATGCCATGGCACATAGGTGCCTGCAATCACGTACATGTACATATAGATTTACTGACAGATAGATACATACAAATGTAATTACACATATCTAAATCTAGTCAGGTCTTGAATTCTTTCATAATTGGCTCAATGATCTTTGAAATTTTAATCCAATTTTCAATATTTTAGTTTTCTTCCTTGAAACAATTTCAATAACTACACAGTGTATTGAGGTTTAAATGTGAATCAAAAATCTCAGTGCCTAGTATATAGCTACTCAGTTTGTATTTGCAAATATTTTATATTAAATTATCTAGGCAAACATTTCAGAACTTTTATAAGAACTTAGTGTATCAGATTTATTGGTGTTGATTTTGATTATTGACTTTAATGACCTGCTGTCTACTTTTCTATAACTAAATCCCTTTAAGGACTAATAATGTGTCTATGCTGACTAAATCATTCTTGCAAAATTATAATTCATATCCAAAGAGGAAAATATCACACACAAACACACCATTTACACAATGTTTGCAAAATAGGAAAGCAGAGCCACATGAAGTGAAAAAAAGCCACACCCATAGATTCTCATCAACTTGGCTGTCTAAATAAGACAACGAACAAGGATGATACCAATAGATATGCTAACACGTAAGGGAGAAATCTCATGGGTCCTCAACTGTAGACAAAGAACCACATGCTTCTCCATGTATGAGCCCCCAGATTGGTTACTGAGTACCAAATGGTCACCTCTGAAATCATATACACTCAAGCTACCTTACATAGACTCAATAGGTTATATATATATATATATATATATATATATATATATATATAATTTAAAAAAATTTTAAAAACAGCATGTTATTTTTTCACATTTAAACATATATACCTAACTGTATATAATTGCTAACTGCTTTCCTCATACCCACAGATAAGTATAGCTTTAACTCCTAATCACAGAAACTTCTTTTAGGAGCCAGTGGAGACAATTACAGTATACAACTGTTGAAAATGCCTAGAACAGCTGATCTTGATGTCTCCAACCCAGACTGATACATCTACAGTACAATCCTACAGACTCAGGAATATTGCAGAAGAATGGTCAGGAGGATTATAAGAGTCAGAGTTCCAGGACATCTGCCATGAGATAGTGACTAAATGTGACAGGAAGTGGCACCATGAAATCTTAACAATATGGTCACCTAAACTTGAGCTACTCAATGATGTTGCCAGTTGGTGTATCAGCATGAATGGTAGAAATCTCACAAAGTCCCAAACTTAAATGAAGATTCCTAGGAAATAATGACTTCTGAGAGCGGGGGAATCAATTTTCTGCAGGGACAATCCCTGGAATAGGTTATTTAACCATAAATGCCCCCCTTAAATACATACAGACAACAGAAAATGTTCTCAGGAGGATGGACTTACATTCACATTTATGTGTACATAATAGTAATTAAATATGAAGTTATGAATTTGGGAAGGAATGATGAGAACACAGAAGGAATTTGAGGATGGAGGAGTGTCCACATGATTACATATAGCATTCATTTATGAATTTTCAAAAATTAAATTAACAATTAACAGCAAATTTTTTTTGTTTTAATACAACTCCTGGTAAAGTTTTCAAAATTATGTATTTTTAAGCAATCAAAAGAGGCCATCAATTGAACAAAGCAAGGAGGTGTAAAATACAAGGCCTGGAGGGAGGAAAGGAAAGTGAGAAATGATGTAAATATATTATAAACTCAAAAACAGAAAAAAGTAAATGAATTGAAATAACCTGTAAACACAATATATGGATATAGAATACATTTACCATCAAATCAGTTTTATAACTATACTCTAACATACTTTATCCTGACACCATGAGTCATTTCCTATTATGTTATAATGCTTGCCCTCCATTCCCCAATCCCTAGCAAACTTCCTCCTTACATATGGGATGCGGGCTTCCCGGTTTCTTCTTACTACTTCTTTGACTGCATCTAATGACTTGTAATTCCAGCGACTCAGTTGAAAGCCAAGACTCCAATATGCTGGCATTGCTGGTCGTCCAATGAGCTTGAGGTGAATGGACAGTAAGTTAGTTTCAACAAAGAGCAATGTCTTTAGAATTACTAGTATTAATGTGCTTTTTATTCTACTATTCCTCTAATACTTACAGAACAACATGCTATAAATACAAAATCCCATTAAAATTCTATTTTTTTTTCTTGCAAAATCTCCCAGAAATTTATTATAAAACATTGCTTTGTTCTGCCCACATCCTTTGTGTATTTTGAGTTAAAGAAACACTCAGGAAAAAAAAAAAAAACATTTGCAAAGATCTATTTGTCTATCATATAAAACTAGTGACAAGAATTAGAGTATCATAATAAAAAAGAAAGTATAACACAATGGAATTCTTTTTGTCATAACTCATTTCCTATTTTGATCAAAATTGTCAATGACATACACTTTCATTAAATATTTCTATTCTGCAAAATTATATGCTTTCTTTTGCTTTATTCTATCAAAAATAATCATGACTAAATAAAATTTTAATATGTAATAAGTCAAATAAATATGACTTTTAAGCTTAGCTAACTCATTATAAAATTAATCTAAATAAAATTATATATTTAGATATATACAGATTGCATTATGCAGGGAAGAAATAAAATTTATCAACTCATGTCTTTAAATTTTGATACAAGTATGCGCATGTAAGAAGTCTTATATATGTAACAATAAATTTTTAAACAACTTATAAAGCAAATTATTGTAGGAGATAATTGACAAGTTCAGTCTGAAACAAACCTCTTGGTATTGTTGAACTACTTCTGCTGGTGTGTCTCCAAGAAATATATAAAAGTCTAGTATGCCACCAATAACTCTGTAAGTAACTATTGGAGTTGGCTGGATGAAAACCTCTACAAAATAGAAATAGGAAAAAAAATACATAATGTGAGAAATGTCCGTATTGATAAAAACAATTGTTGACACGCATTTAAGAGTATCTTGTTAATGATATCAGTACACATAACATTCATTCTTTTAAGAAGGAAGCTATTGAAAACAGTAATAACTTTAGAGAAAGAAAATTATTCTTCTTGTAAGGCTGTGATAGTACAGCCAAGACTTCCCTTTCCAGAGTTGGCAAGGTTCCTCTGGAAATTGAAGAGGAGGGCATAGAGGGACAGACTCTTAACAAGAACAAATGTCTTGCTAAAACTGTATCTCAATTAGTTATTGCAATTTAAGATTAGTTGAAAGATCACATCACCATACATTAGTTTCTTAAAAAAAAAATCCTAAAAGTTCTTAACCTTGTCCAAGTAATCGGCTAGATAATTATGGAAAACACTTCTCTTGATGAACAATTGTAACTTTTCAACAGCATTAAATCACTTATTAAGATATTCTGTTTACTCCATTCAGAAAACAAAACAGCTAGGAAACCTGCATGGGATCAAACTAGACCCTGTGACTGTGGGTGACAGATGTGACTTGATCTGGTGGGGGGGGGGGGCTGGCAATGGCACCAGGACCTATCCTGGGTGCATCAACTGACTTATCAGAGCCCATTCCATATGTTAGGACACATTGCTCAGCCTTGATACAGGGGGAGAGGCTTAGTCCTGCCTCAACTTGATATGCCAAACTTTGTTGATTCCTCAAGGAAAGCCTTTCATTCTCTGAGGAGTGGATGGGGGAGGGGCAGGGGATAGGTGAGAGGAGGCAGAGGGGAGGGAAGGGAACTGGGGTTGGTGTGCAAAATGAAAACTTTTTAAATGAAACAATAACATTTATTTAAAAATAAAGAAAAAAAAGACTCTACATAACTTGAAATGAACTTACTCCTTCTATGACCAAAAGACCTTTCTGCTTGTTGTTTTTTTTGCTTGTGGTTTTACTTTTTGTTGTTGTTCTCCTGAAAGTAGTATTTTAACTATCTTGACAGTGAAGCTGAGGGGAGCCCCTATTTGTGTGAATACATTTCAGCATTATTATGATGGGAAAGAGATTGCCTATATGTCAAAACACAACATATACTTTCCCAAATAGAAACAGTCACAGTGAAAATCTAATTTTAAAATCTTCCAATACAATTTCACATATTGCAATTATTTGCAAAATTGTTTATTTTAAAGTCATATAACTATGATGGCAATAGTACTTGAACATGTGAAGATAAATTTCATGTAAACATTATCAAATAAATCATGTTTACCCATTGCATTGCTGTTCATGAGAAAAACTCCATATGACTTCCCAGAGTTATCTTCAATGCCCATGAAGAATGTCTGATGCCCATAGAGATTATGATTATTCTGAAATATGAAGTTCAAATTTTAGATATTGAACTGAATCCAAAGTTAAGACAAAATGTGCTAAAATGGACATTATACATTCATTTACTTTTGCAATTTACCCTTCTACAGCTCTGTATTAATTTTTCTCAAAATATATCACATAATATATATAAAGATTATGGTATAAAATAATATAATATACTTCAGTTAATAATTTTATGTTAGCAAAAGGAAACATTAACATATATTAATAGATTGCTTGATTTTCTTTGTTTTATTATAATTAAATTTATTTGAATAAGCCATGCTGATATTATGGCACACCCATCAAGAACCATTTTTTTCATAAGGTACACATAAAGATGTCTATCTTAGATTCTTCAGTGTATTTGTCAAGAAGAAAAAGTGAGATAAGACAGACAAGTCCTAAAAGCAATGACAAATGGAAAGTTAAATCTTTCTAATTGGTTTTATACAGAAGCTAAAGGAACACCTGTATAGAAAGCATGAAGAAACTTCCAGTCTGGTGTTTATTTCAGAGCACAATGCTGTCAGCACTAAAATAGATGCTAGAATTCATCAGTAGGTTTATTCCAAGTGAAGTTCCTTAAAACAACTATCCATTTACTCATTTTGGAAAAATAGTGTTAGCACTTGTGTACAAAAGTAATAAAGATACACCCATTTTCTTGATGGAAATCAGTCTACCACAAGATCCAGCAATTCCATTCTCAGGCATATACCCAAAAGAAAATGTGGTACCTTTACAAAATGAAGTACTACTTAGTGGGGGAAAAAAACAATAGAATCTTGAAATTTGCAGGAAAAATGTATGGAACAAGAAGAAACCATGCTGAGTGAGGTAACACAGTCACAAAAAGACAAACATGGTATGGACTCACTCATATATGGATTTTAGACATAGAGCAAAGGATTACCAGCCTACAATCCACACATCCAGAGAAGCTAGGAAACAAGGAGGACCCTAAGAAAGACATACCTGGTCCCCAGGAAAAGGGGAAAGGGACAAGATCTCCTGAGCAAAATGGGAGCATGGAGGATGGGAGACGGAGCTAAGAGAAAGAGAAGAGGAGAAAAGGAGGGGAGTGGAGGACATGAGGGAGCAGGAAGTTTGTTTAGAGGGAAGAATAGGGGAGAGAAAGATAAGAAATACTGTAATAGAGGGAGACATTATGGTTTAAAGAGAAATCTGGCACTAGGAAAATGTCCAGAGATCTACAACGATGACCCCAACTAACAATCTAAGCAATAGTGGAGAGGCTACCCTAAATTCCCTTCCCTGTTAACGAGATTTATAACTATCTTATATGACATCCTAGAGCCTTCATCCAGTAGCTGATGGGAACAGAAGCAGACACCAACAGCTAAACACTAAACTGAATCCTGTTGCAGAGAGGGAGGAATGATGAGCAAAGGGGTCAAGACCAGGCTGGAGAAACCCACAGAAACAACTGACATGAAAAAAGGGGAGCTCATGGGCCCCAGACTGATAGCTGGTAAACCAGCATGGGACTGTTCCAGAGTCCCTGAATGTGGGTGTCAGTGAGGAGGTCTCAGCAATCATTGGGGACTCTGGTAGTAGGTCAGAATTTATCCCTAGTATATGCATGAAGTTTGGGAGCCCATTCCACATAGAGTGATACTCTCTCAGCCTAGACACACAGGGGAGGGCCAAGGCCCTGCTCCAAATGGTATGACAGACTTTGAAGATTCCCCCATGGAAGGCCTCAACTTCCCTGGGAAAGCTGAAAGGGGATAGGATATGGGGTTAGTGGTGGACAGGAGAGAAGGGGAAAGAGAGGGAAGTAGGATTGGCATGTAAAACAAGCTTGTTCCTAATTTAAATTAAAAAATAGAAAAAAGTAAAGTGGCAGTCAAATAAAAAAAATAAAGATAACTAGGTAATAAGTAAAAATAACTTTAGTTGTTGATCTTTTAGCCTTGCATGCTCCACATTAATGCAAGAAAAAAAATCCATGTAGAAAAAAAGGCATTGTTAAGAGGCACTAGAAAGTTCTAGAAGCTTAATTCTTTGTGGGAAAGTCTGGGAGAAGTTCTTGAATTATGGTACATCTTATAACCTAATGTGTGAATTACAAATAATCTGAAGTTGTTGTATTTACAAAGAAATCAACTCCTTTGAAAAAACTTGATGTTTAGGGTGATTGTGTGGTATAAATAAGGAGGTAGTTGATAAAACTACAATGAATACTGAATAAATGGAGGTGACACTTCATCCTACGGAGAGCCTGGTATTTGGGACTGTTCCAGCTTATTGTCTTTAACTACAATAGGATTAAAAATAGAATAATAAAATACAAAACTGTAATAAAAAGCAAACAGTCACTATCTGGAGATACATATTCAAGTATTGACAAAAACCACTCAGTAAAGATATATTTCTATCACTTTTTATTAAGATAAGCTAGATCTACATATCTTTTCTACATGGAATTCATATAAATAACCCAAAATTGCTTAAATTTCTTAATTTTAGAAATTAAAAATGCTTAAATTAGTGGAGAAAAATTAAGAGTTCATGTGCAGAGAAGAACATGTTGGTCATGTCTCTAATAGCAAAGTGGTGGCACCATAGATAATATAAAATTAAAATCTTCATGGAAAAGAAGCTATGAGCAAAACAGAAATAATCTTAGGAATTAGAGAAAATATTTGACACTCAGTGTTACAGACTGAGTGGTTAATAACTAGACTCTGTAAGGAACTGCAAGACACCCAAAGAAAGTATCCAATAATCAACTGAAATAGTCAATGGAATAGGTAACTCTGAGAAGAGAAAACAGGAAAGATCAATAAAGATTTTAAAATATATTCAATATTTCCTTATCCATTAGGAAAATGCAAACTAAAACAGCACTTAGATTCCATTTTCATCCAAATGAAACTAGTTATCATCAAGAAAACAACTGAGAGCTGGAGAGTTGGCACAGTGGTTAAGAGTACATGGAACTCTTTCAGAGGACCTGAGTTCTATTTCTCGCACCCACAAGAAAGCTCCGAACCATCATTAACTCCAGTTCCAGGGGATCCAAGACCTCCCCTGACCTCTGCAGGTCAGAGGCATGCACATGGTACATACACATAGGTGCAGACAAAATGCACACACATATAAAAATAATACAAATAATTTGCGGGGAGGGCAGTTTTTGAGGTAGGGCTTTTCTATAGCTGTGGAGCCTATCCTGGTCCTCGAACTGTAGATGAGGCTTGCCTCGAACTCATAGATATCCTCCCGCCTCTGCCTACTGAGTGTTTGGGTTAAAGGCATGTGCCACCATCACCTGGTAATATGTTTTAAATTAACAACAACAAAAAAAAAACCTGCTGAAAACCTAGATGAGGATTCTTGTGTAAATAAGAACCCTTATTCACTAATGTTGGGAATGTAAACTGGAAATCTGTATGGGAGTGCCTTAAAATTTTTAAAATAAAATTACTATATTACTGATTACTGATTACCATTTTATTTACATAGAGTCAAAAGGCTCCATATCCGGCAACGGAGATGTCTTATCTAGGTTTACAGCTACTCTATTCACATTAGAAAGGGAATGGACCAGTATAGATGCCCATCAACTAATGAATGAATGACCAAGATGTGTTAAATGTACACATCCACATTTTATTTGGTTTAAAGAAATGAAGTTTAGAAGAAAATGAATGGAGCTGGAAAATATCATAATGAGCTAAGCAATCTGTACTCAGAAAGGCAAATGCCACATGTTCATATATTTCTTCTTAGATATAAGTACTGGCTTTAAATCCTGATCCTCTCATTTTTCTTTTTCCCTCTGTCCTATTTTGCATCATGTAAACAGAAGGTGAATGTTATGAAAAATAGATGTTGAGAAGGGGAAGGGTAACAGACAACATGAGACAGAAAAAGTAGAAAGGTTACTAGGTGTAGGGGGTACAAGTATGGAAGCAGGAAGATGAGAAGTTTCCAAAGAGGTGGGGGAGAATCAATAAAAACAAATTATGTTTGAAAATTCTATAGTAAAGTTGATATTTTGCTTGCCAAATATAATTTTAAAACATATTGAAAATCAGTATAATTCTAACATAGATATTTCTGTCATGTAAATAATTTAATCAGCAATAGCATAAAATAATATTGAGAAATGGATCAACTGCTCCAGGGTAATCATTTAATCTATAAAGCCAAGATAATATCGTACATCACCAGGAAGTTCATCTCGAGTAAATATTGGCCATGTTTTCCAGTATAAGTCATGACGAAATCTCTTATGAATATGTTCCCCAAAGCCATAAATATAGTCACTTGGAAGTTTTGCTGAAATCTGTAAATATTGGTTGGAATACACCAGTGGACCAATACTGGTGTCAAACCTGAAACACAAAAGAAAAAGAAATGTTATGTGTATAGATGACATATTCCCTTGTTTTAGTTAAATGTAGACATCAGCTAAGATATTTGATTTCTAAAGTGTCAACTGTTAGCTGCAGTCATAATTGGAAAAAAATAAATTGTTCCATAAATAGAACTTATTTATGGCATCCACACAAATTCATATTCATCTATACAGTTTTTCACAGGCATCCTACTTCTAGTCCTCCTCACAGTTGCAGAATATAACTATCACTGTCACATGTGTTGCACAGATGCCACTTACACATAAATAAATAATAGATAAATAAATAATTACAGAAAATCACTTTTTCAACATAAATTGTATTCTGCAATTCAAATATCAATAAAAGATGTCATGCAAAAATCTTGAAGACATATTCTTCATGGCTAACTCATTAGCAAAAGTCTTCTATCTTCCACCACCCAGAACCAAGATAAGTATTGTGTTGCTCAATTCTTATGGTTAGAATTGTCTAGAGTTCACATGTAATTGATTCAGTGAAGTATTTAATTTAAAATTCTGCTCAGAATTAAGTACATTTTGGGAGATAGCACAAAACAAATAATAAAAATGTCCAAATCTATTTAATTAAATAAATGTATGAGATTTGGTTTTCAACACTGTTCCATGTTACCTGATAACATGAAGTCTGTATCTTCTCTTTTCTCTGTTATAAATTCTTTTATTTTTAAAACAATTGTGTTTTTGAGATTATAATTACTACACCATTTCCCCTTCCCCCAAAACCTTCCCATAAAGCCCCATTTACCCTTTTTAAAATCTATACCTTTTTATTATTAATTATTGTTATATATGGTGTGTGGGTGCGTTCGTGCGTGCGTGCATGCATGTGTTCGTGTGTGTGTGTGTGTGTGTGTGTGTGTGTGTGTGTGTGTGAAATGCTACCTGTATGAAGCCTGGAATTTTTACAGGAAGTTAGTGAATTCTTTGTAACAATTACTCCTTGCCCCAGACAATACATTCTAAATGAAACTATTCAGCTTATATTTAGCTTGATCTGTGTGAGCAAATGATTTTGTTTTGATATTGCCATGGAAATTCATACCTCACTGAATAGAAATGGTTAAATTCTGAATGTTCTTTCAGAAAAGAAGAAACAACAAGGGTAATGTTAGCAGCCATTCTTCCATGTGACTAATATTGATGATGGAAAACTTTAGCAGCACTTTCCTCCATCTTTGACTTGGTTGGGATTAATTGATACTTTCAAATTTGTATTTTGCTTTATTTCTTTAATGGCAATCAAAATTATTCCACCATCATAATCTTTATAGATCTTTACTTACACTTTTGGGGATATTCTTTGTGAACTGGCACTGACATTAAGACATTGTTATCCTCTGAGAAGAGAATAAAATTGGCCACCAATTTGGACTGATGTAAACTCAAAATGAAAGCATCACTTACAAGACTCTGTTGTTGCTTTTCCTGATCACTTTGATGCTGAAAGGTTTTTCTGTGACCTGCACATCATAAAGTGTGTCAGCTGCCGGGATTCCAGTAACGTCCTTTACAAACTGATGTGGTACTTCATATCTCTTATTATTTGGATCTGTAATCTGCCAAGAGTTTAATACATGAACAGTAAATACAGACATCCCCACCTCTGATTTATTGCACACAAGCTGTGAAATTTATATAATTTTAGAAAATATCTATTAATGGCACAATATAAATTTAACATTTTAATCATTTGTGCAAAGATCAACAATATAAAAATTATATTTAATTGGTTAGGATGTTTCTGCTATGGTTGGGTAAATATATTTATTGATGATATAAGAAGGATATTTTCGAGGAGCATTGGTGGTGCATGCCTTTAATCCCAGCATTGGGTGTGGGAGGGGGAACCCAGGTGGATCTCTGTGAGTTCAAGGCCAGCCTGGACTACAGAATGAGTGCCAGGATAGGCTTCAAAGCTACACAGAAAAACCCTGTTTCAAAACACCAAAAAAAGAGAGATATTTTCACTAAATATCATTTAAAACTAGCCTTTTAAGTTTATTTTTATAAGTGCTATTTGTCTATTTTTATAAATATTCCCATGTGTACTAAATATTTTATTTTGTATTTTTAAATACCTTATTAAAACCCTCACAAATAAAAAAAATAACACAATGAAATTAATCACATCCAAAATGGATACATCCCAATGGATCTTTAGATTATAAATAGTCATGAGGATGGAAGCTGTGAGGCTTTGCATTGGATTTGAAGCTTGCAGTACAGAATATTTTCTATGCATTTATCCATCATCTTGACAGGATTAAAACTAGAAAATAACTCCTCTTTACTACCTCTATTCAGTATCTCCTCCACCCATTATTCTTATAAATTTTGTGATTACATTTTTTCTAGAATGGAATAATATACAACACACACACACACACACACACACACACACACACACACACACTTATCTATTTATCTGTTTTTTGACAGATAGTTTTATTATTGTTATTTGCAATAATGAACAAAGTTTTAAAATTGCTGGACATGGTGACACATGCCTTTAATCTCAGCACTAAGGAAGCAGAGGAAGGCAGATCTCTCAATTGCAGCCTGGTCTATAAAGTGAGCTCCAGAACAACCATGACTGCTATACAGAGAAACTTTGTCTCAAAAAAACAAAAACAACAACAAAAAAAACTACACAACAAAAGAGTTTTAAATGGTATTTTTTGTCATACATTATGGTAATACATCACTTTTTTAGCCTATTCATTCACATGGGTTCTATCCTTATCAGTGAAAAACTGACTCAATACATTTATAATTTAAGTCTTTACTTTTTAAATGTGTTCCTAAATATTTGCAAAATCATTATTTTCTTCTCCAAATTATATGTATGTATGTGTACACATGTGCACAGACTAAACCCCTTCTACAAGCCAGCAGTCTTACTTTAATCTCAAGAATGAAGTTTCATCCATTGCATTTATAGAGCATTACTAACTTTTATCCAATCAAATTTTAAATTAACATCCTGGAGAGATCTCTGGGTGGTTAAGAACCCTCATTGGCCTTGCAGAGAGAGGACCTAGGTTCAATTCCCAGGAACCACATGGTGGTTAACAGATATCTGTAACATCATTTCTATGTTCTAATACCTGTTTCTGGCTTTTGTAGGCATTTGACATGCCCATGGTGCTAAAACATTCAAAGAGGCAATACATCCATAAACACAAAATAAACAAATGATTTAAATATATTAAATAACTGTCCTATAGAGACCACTGTTGCATGTCTTTAATACAAACATTTATTGAGCACAAGTTCTTCTGAAGACAATAACTTAAGTATTTGAAATACAATATGTATCTTTTGGGTAAATATTTCTCACAGTGGACAATACATGGAAGGAAAAGAGTGTGATCATCAAATATACTTTATGAAATTTTATTTCTTAGAAATATTAAAAACCAAAGGAGAGATGACTCTATAATTATTGTCTCTTGCAGCTCCTACAGAGCACCTGGATTCAGTTCTCAGCAGAATCATGGTATCTCATAACCATGTATAATTCCAGTTCCATGAGGTCCATCAGCCTCTTCTGTCTTGTATGAGTACTACACACACACACACACACACACAGAGAGAGAGAGAGAGAGAGCCTGGAGGGGGGATTTGCACTCAGAAAATAAACAGAAGTAAATCTTTAGAAATTGTAAAAATCAAACCTTGAAGCGCAAACGATTTGAGGTTTGACTCTGAGTTGTGAGGAGGACACTATTAATATCGTCCCCAAATAGAGTAGGAGAGGGGATCCTGTTCAACCTGGCTTCAAGTCCTTAAACAAAGACAGGAGAGAAGCACATAAAATTAAGATAAATTATGGATACAAACAACTATTAAGAATTTATCTTATGTTAATAAATGTCTTATGATATCACAAATGACTGTTTCTTTTTTATATTTATATTGCATGATGAAACCATGAAAAATGCCTCGATAGGGTATTTAAAAATTTTGCTGTATGTACTTATTGGATTCTATCAAAGATAACTACTTTCAAAGTAAAACTTAAAATAGACTCTCAACATAGAACATATGCTGAAGTATTGTTACAGGGACACTGCTTACCAGTATCTTTTGTAGTTACTGCCTCAGCATTGTAGCCATGGTTATTTACAAAGAAGCACCAAGGAATGATGGAGTTGTTCCAGGGGCGCCAACAACAGCCACGTTCTTCACATTTTGCCTGGTAAATATTTTAAATGAATAACATAATTGGCACCGGAAGCAGATGTATTAATGTCTATTTTACTTAAGTGTTATCATTCTAAGCATGCATATTTTAAAACATTTTGCCCTCTCAATAATTATTTTTTCCCTTGAAGATACTAACTAAAATGAATTTGAATACTAAAGTTGTGTTCATTAAGCATCAAAGACAGGTGAATTTACATAAATGAAAAATCTAGACTGAATTCAAGCACACATAACTTGAGGAAATGACTAGGGCTTAAGAGCAGGACCCTTTCATGCTAGGTAAGTACTCTACCCCTTAATGACAATCTCAGTCTACAGTTTTATAACAAGTTTTCAACCACTTATTAGCTAAACCTCATAGCAGTTGGGTTATTTAAATAGTCACAAAAATTACCATAATTACATAAACATTACAAAATGTTGACTTATAGTGATTTTACCAACTATATGAAAAAAATCACAAATGTAGAAAAAGTCATAAATGCATGCATATTTAAATTTTGAATGGCATGGTGATGTTGAACGCTATCAATAGCATAACAGAATATCCATATAATAATTTTTTCAATTATGACACAGTTTAACAGTTTGAAAACTCGTATGATGGTTTCATAACTATTATTGTGAAAAGTTTTTCAAGTTGTATGTGTTAGTCATCTGAAATTACACATCTTTGTCTTTATCTTTAGATCACTTTAAAAGGGCTGCATGTACAGAAACATACACATATATACATTACACAGCAGAGTGCAAAAGGATCAGTTGACACCTCTCATAACATAAAGTATGTAAAGACTTTATTTGGACAATATTGTCCCTAGTTGAGTAACCTATCAAAAGATACTCCAAAACACAAAGATATGAGGTAAAATAACTAAAACAATGGTCATTACATCAGTCTTTCTAAGATGTTTTGTTTGAGCTTAGTTGAAACACAAAAGTAGAACCAGTCATAGATACAGTAATTTGAAAAGTTGTGAGGTTATATTTATAAAACAAAAACCCAGCACATTATTAGCATATTTTGATAAGCTAAAAAGCTAGTAAAGTGAAATTATAGCAAACTTATCAAAATACTCTCCATTAGCACTTTCCTATGGCTGCCATAAAATCCATGAGATAAAATGTGGGTTAAAGCAAAAGAAATATATTCTCTCAGAGCACTACTGATTGGACATCTTGACTCTAGGGGTCTGGAGGAGAATCCTCCTTTTATCATGATTTCCAGCGTCTCTTGGAAGAGTTGCCATCCCTTGCACTAATGTTCATTCAATTTTATTCTGTCCGTCACCCTGCATAGATTTTCCATATAAAGTCAACAGTTGAAACAAATCTCAAAAACTCTCTGCTAAATAAGACTCTGTTTTGGGACTCTTCTAGTTGCCATAAATACTTGGCAGGCATAATGTAGTCACAACATACATATATAATAGTTTTAGTTTAAAAATAACATGACTTTTAACAGAAATGTTTATTAATGTTTGTTCATCTGTGGAATTTAATGTTTTTTTTTGTCTGTTTAGCTGCTCTTTCTCTTATTTAAAACTTTTAATACTTCTATTTACTTCTCTAATTTCAGGTTTCTTTCTGTCTTTCTTGAAAGACAGAAAGCTAAGAAAAATTAAAAATCCATTAGTAGTCATAATTTCAATAAACTCCCATAAATAAAATTGGAAAAATTCTCAATTCTTATTTAATTGTATGGCATGACTACATGAATATACTATAATCAGAATTCTATTGCATACTTATATAATACTAAGTTGAGTCAGGGTATAAACAAAATTGTTTTCTCAAATTGAAGTGCTGTAGGAGGGCCTTACCTCCTCTTCCCATATTGTTTTACTTGGCAATAGAGCCATTAGGAAGAATAGGGACTAAACTAATGTTATAGCATGGTGCCTCATTCAAGCGTATTGAAGCTAGTATAAAATAATTATTTTTCCTTCTGGTGTGCATCCTGAAGAAATGTTCTGTGATCGTGGCAAAAAGCACTATTTACAATAAGAGTAGTAAGTCATCTTACTCTCAGAGAAGTAGATACTTCACTCCTGATGTATGAAGTGTCCTTTTGCAGCAGACAGAGACCATACAGAAAGCCACCACTTCTCAAAATAGAGACCAAACAATGGTGTGTTGCCTAGCTCCAACTGATATATGTATAGCCGCACCCTCTCTACCTAAGGCTCAAGAAGAACAGGATCTCTATTGTTACACAGTGTCTTCTAAATATGACATGGAAGATGCACCCATGAAATACAAAACAATTTGTTTATCTGCACGAGAGCTGCACAATAATGCAAGTAGTGGATACGCCATTGTGCGTGGGAAAATCTCAAAAGGTCCCACTCCTAGATGAAGAGGTACAGGCAGTCAAGACTGCTAATAGAAAGAGAAACAGTCTTTCTAAATAATAAGAGCCCAATACCAATACCAAGCAGTCAACTCTGAAAACATAAACAACCCTATATGGATTTAAAAGGTTGTATTTATTCAATTATCTATGTATATGTAATAGTAATTAAATTTAAAAATGCATGAGTGTAAAGGAGGTGGAGGAATAGAGATTTGTTGAAAGAAAAACAGGGAGGGGTGGGATTGATGTAAATAAGCACATATACTTCATAACAAATTCAGAGTCCTCACTATAGATTAGTGAAAATGACTACTTTGTTTGGACAACTTGTACACACTTGCAGAATTCTTGTAATATATTCGCTTAGCCTTGATAAATTCTGAATTTCCAGTTATGTCTAAAATTCAATGCATGATAGTTCATTTAATAACAAAATTTTATTTAAACTATTTTGACCAAGCTTAAGGTTTCTGTTTTTTTGTTGTTGTTTTGTTTTGTTTTTTTTGTTTCTTACCTAAATGTGAGGAAATTCCCTTTCTGTCACTGTCTCCTTCTACCTCGACTTAATTTTCTGTTCTTCAAATCCATCCCAGACTTTACAAAGCTTTGTTAGCACTCCAGCAGCTGAGGTGCATTGGACTTACACTCTTAGTAAATTTACTCAGGCTAGCCTCAGACTTATGCTCATCTCACCTTAGCTTCTCCAGTTGCAGGAATCACAGGCATGAAACACAACAATGAACTCACATTGTGTTCTTGAATGGCAAATGCAGATATATTTGCTAAAGTAGAATTTTTTACTTCATGTGCTTATGTTATAGCTAAGATTATTGCTATTAGTTTATTACTAAGCATATGAAAATGAAAATTTTTCAGCAACTTAAGGTTTTCAGTAAAGACCATAAGGCTGCATCAAAGTTAAATCACTGCCTTTTTATATGTTCTCTATATTCTTCCTAAAAGGATTCAGTGAAAATCTTCCATCATTTCTTGTAAAGAATAGTAATAAGAGTATCAACTTCCCTCCATCTGTAACAGTAATAACTGATCTATTTAGGTGCATCATCGACACGATCTAACAATGAGTAATAGGAATTATTACTGTTTAATATTATAATGAATATTTCATTTATTTACATAGTTTCTGGGAAATTAATAAGAAAATCCTGTGTAAATTATAATGCATAAAAGGTCTGGTAAATATTTTATTTTGTTTGATGGGGAATGTTGAATTAGGATTCAAACACAGTATTTTTAGAATTTG